AATTGTCGCGTTGCAGCCCTGAAGGGAGCTACACGGACGACGCGAATCAGGAAGTGAGGGGCCCGCCACAGCAGCACGCGCATCCCAGCGAGTTTGACGACGAGTTTGAAGATGATGATCCGTTACCAGCTATAGGACACTGCAAAGCAATATATCCTTTTGATGGTAAGGTTAACAACATATATTCTTCTTTGACGATGAGGTGACTTGGTTAAGAGGTATGGATTATTTGTTACACAGAAGACAGGTAAAATATTTATAAATTGGTTAATTTACAGGCAGACTGGTACTTTTATGCTGTCATATTAGAAAGCACAGCTATTGGCAAATGCTCAGATTTAGAAATGGAATGAGTGTTTTTGTCTGTAAGCCTGTTTAACCGTATATTCACTTGCATGATTTTTGATACTTCCTGTTTATATATAATCTGGAAACTATGTCCTGGGAAAAAAAATTTTTGAAATGCTGTCATAATGTTGAGACTTCTTTGCCTCTTGTTTTCCCAGGTCATAATGAAGGCACCCTGGCAATGAAAGAGGGGGAAATTTTGTACATTATTGAGGAAGACAAAGGAGATGGGTGGACAAGAGCTCGAAGACATAACGGAGAGGAAGGCTATGTGCCAACATCATATATAGATGTAACGCTAGAGAAAAACAGCAAAGGTGCAGTAACCTATATCTAACAGTAAACTGGCAGTTTTCAAGTGTACATTCTCCCAGGGAGATAGTGGAAAAATAGTAAGTCACACAGGTTGATGAGAGGAATTAGTTACCAGAAGGCACCAGTGAGCTGTTGTTCGCCATGTGAGCTTGCCATATTTTTTTCCAGAGATGTCAGCATTAAGTACTTTTTGTTGGTCTGTAATTTTGACCAGTGTCTTCTGCTTTATTTAACTGATCAGATGTTCCTGCTTTCAAAGTGTTCAGTTTGACTCATCTGTTAAACTGAAAAAGACCAGGATTCCTGCTTGTTCTATATAGTAGTTGGTTTTACAATGAACTGAAAAATGCCTAGTTTTGAAGACCTCTAAAACTTACAGTTCCCAATTACATGACTGAAACCGTATACTTACAGGAGAGGCTCTTTTTTTTCCTCTAAATTCAGTTACTGAAAATTATTAATTTCCTTCCTTTGCAAATACTTGGCAGCTTTCCCCTCTTAAAGAGAAAAATGTTATCAGATTCTTGAAAGCTCAACAGGAACACTCAGGAAGAAGCATTACAATTAAAAAGGACAAAGCGTCCACTGACCTGCCTCTCTCCTTCCCTTCCAGTGGTTGTAACCTAGAAAATTGTGTTATTTGGCGCAGCTTCACTGTTTTAACTGTAGATAAAAAGATGACAAGTAATGCTCATGCGTTACTGGATTTTAACCTCTGTCTGCTCCTAAAAAGGGACTGTTTTAAAATTCTTAATCATCTGAATTACATTGTGTTTGGGTTACAATCAAGAACTAAAATTCAAAGTAACTCCCTCACTATTAAATCACTAGAGTTTGAACACTACATTGCACTACTTAATTACTACTTAATAGCTACTCTAAAAGCTGTGTCTGGTATTCCTATTAAGAATGTTTGTGGAAATAGTACAAGGCTAACGTGTAGCCACTGGGAATGGCCTGTTAGAACTGAGCACGCTCCTCGGTCTCTGAAGGCCTTCAGTAACTTTGTTCTTTTCTTTTTCCTCTTGGACTGCAGGTTCCTGAAGCGGGTTTCTGAGAAAATGGGCGAGATCTTGAAGGAGGTTACATGCAGCTGCTTTGGGGGGGTGGGAGGGTATTAGCCTGGGAGGCCCAGTAAGCAAGGGGAAAAGCTAGTTGCATGAATGCATGCAGACGTACGTTTAGTCACTAACATTCTTAGCATTCCCATACATAGTTAAGGATGTATTACAAATTCTTTAAATTTCTGCTGCAAAATAGAGCTCCATTTCCAGAGTAAAAAGGCAACTGCTACTAAAATTGCTTATTCTTATTGTCCTTAGTTCTCAGAGGCACAAACTATATTTTAGCTTGTGCTACATTTTGGTTATCTATCTCAGTTATGCTCTTTCCAACTGATTGTAATTGGCAGTCATTTAGAACCATGTCCGTTGTCAGTCTGCCTGTGCCACCTCCATGCTCGCCCTTAACCCCTCCTGCATGCCTAGGACAGTCAGGCATGTCTGCATAACATTTTATTTCATCATTACTTCTCTTTTTTAGTAACAAACCATTCTGTTTAAATATCTCCAGCACTAGAGTTTCATCCCAGTATCCATGTATGCTGCTATAACACTTCCACTGCAACCACCATTACATTCCAGTTTTTGACCTTACTGCTCTGAGATCATACTGTATTTATGTTGGTTTGGGGAAATAATACATCTCAGCTCTAGCCTGCAATGCAGCCAGAAAAACTCCAAGAACTGTGGTCCATCTTCAGCACTTCAGTAACCTAGTGTGAGCACTGGAAACCTGGAACACCACCAGAGAGATTCACCACTGCAAGCTAATGACTGTTTTCCAAGTCAACCACTTGCCATTCAAATGCTGCCTTAAACTAGAGTGCCTAAATCTGCTGATTGCCAACACTACCACTTACAGTATCCCACAAAGGGCTTTGGGTCTCAGCTCTTTCCACAGTGCTGTAGCTGCTGAGGTAGCCATGGTAGGTGTTTTCTAGAGCTCTGCTTTACAGGATACATGGTGCATCATGAATTTTATACATTGAGACATGTATCTCTTCATTTTACTTCAATATTTTTAGAAATATTTTTATGGAAACTTTGTCTCTTAGTTTTTGACTATGAAGTTCCAGTTTTAATTACTGCAGTGCTAGTTTGTTTCCAGGTGATGCTTCATTGTATGGACCAGTTGAAATTTGAGTGATACTTCGTAATGATCTATGTGCACTTTTACTTGTAAACAATTGAAACTTGGATATGTTTATACATGTAAATAGAGTTGTCTGCAGTGCCCCTATTGCTTATGTTGTCTTGCCTCCCATTTGTGGTTCTATTAATAAATACATCATATCTGATTTATTAGGGTAATAAGAATTAGACTAGAGAGGGTGGGGGGAGGGATACTTGTATCAATCAAAGCTTGTCAGCCCAGCCACCTGCTGTGTGAGGAAATAAATAGTAATCAAAACATCCTGGTTTTCTTTGGGCGGGGGGGAGGGAGGAGGGAATCTGAAGCAATATTTGGATGCAGCAGTGCTGGATTCCTTTTAATTTCAGTGTTATTAGAAATTGTACTACCAGTAAAACTGAAGTTGAGTGACTTGCATAGAGGTTTGTTCCTTTTCTTATGTATACCACTATTACACAGCTTGACCTAGTGTATTACAGTTGGGGGCTATTAAACTCTAAAGTTTAGATTTTTGGATACTGTATACAGGGTTATTTATATAATAATGTGACATTACTCAATACTGACAAAACTACATGTGTAGTTTTTGGGGTTTGTTTTTTAATGTAGTGCTTTTTATTTTATAGCTAGAGGAGGAAATGTGATCTGTGTATTTTCTGCTAAAGGGCCTGTGGTTTTGCCTGGCTAACAGCCTCGCAGGTTAGTAATAACTTCCTGGTAAAGGACTAAATGTTCTCTTCACGCTACTGTTTGTTTTTCTAAAACCAGGATTTGCTTCCTTTGGAGGCAGGTTCCTTTCATGAGGGATAGTGCAACTTATATGAGGGTTATTAAACATAGGAAAAAACGATTTGTACTTGCACAGCTAGTTATAAATCACTTACTCTAAATTTCTGAACGTGAGTTGTCTTGAACAATCTTCCATTTTCCAGTAATTTTTAATCTTTTATTTTTTGTGCACATGTTGATTTCTTAAATGTTAAATACTTTGTTTAAAAATAGTGTTCTCTGTTGAGAATATTTTCATGGAATAAAGAAATCTTTTCATGGTCTAATTTAACTTCCCATTTGTATTCTGTTGAGATTGACAGGGAGACTTAATCATTTGTAGCTGATGGGACAGATGCTACTGTTTGGTGTTGGTTGATTTTGTTGTTAGCCTGCCTCCTCCCAAAATATTTTGCATATGTAACCGCACACTTCAGAACTAGCCTTGTTGTTGAAGAGCAAATTCAGCTCTATTCAGTTACCAAAACATTAACTCTCATACAAGGCTTCTGCATGGAATGAAGTGGAATTTGCCACTAAAAGTTTTCTTTACATAGCAAGTCAGCGTGCATGATGTTTATGAAAAGTGCCAATAACTTGCACTTGGGCTTCATCCATGAAAAAAAAGAGAAGTGCGTAATTCTTACCAAAGTGATTCACTTCAGTAACTGAAGTGAGTTGAATATGCACATACACCCACATTTACTCATATCTGGAAGTGTTTTAATTATCAGAATTGTTTGCTCTTACCACGTCGACATTCACTCCCGGCAGCTTAGCTGTTGTGCAGGCTCCAGCAAAGACCAAGCTCCAGCCTCAGGTGCAGAATCAGTTGTCCCAACATACATAAAACTAATTTTTTACTGTCGTTACAGTGAAATTTGAGCCTTCAGTTGTGGTCACAGATAAAGGATCATTTCTGTAACCGTAGTCTACAAATTATTTTGCATAAAGATATATATTTTAATTCACAATTCTATGTACAGTGCTTTATATTCATTTAAGGAGTATTATACAACTGCAATGTCACATACTTAATCTATACCTTTATTTACACTATTTGCTTCATTTTAATTTCTCTAAGATGCCCAACTTCCCCCTACTCCTAGGTATTATTAAAACATTACAGGTCTGGGGAAATATGGAAAACTGTAAGACTGTCTTACAGGAATAATCTTAATCATTTAAAGGATCATAAAATGATTTGATGACACATTAAATAAATAATTTGTTTACTAATCAGTAGTTTTAAAACAAGTGTGCATTGTGCAGTTAAAGTTCTAGACATCTTGTGAAATGCTACAGGTTGGTGCAGTATCAATTTGCCAGAAGAAAAGCTATGGTTATTTCAAATTTAGCACTTAAGACTCTGTAAACTAAATACTTATTTGCTCCACCTGCTTCACTGGAGGAGGTTCCAGTTTTCGGGAGAGTGCAGTTAAGATCTGGCTGAACTTTTCGTATCTTTCATTTTGATTAACTTGTGCCCCTTTGCTGCCCCACAGCAATCTCATTTGAAATTCTGTCTTGAAGATCTCGCTCATCTCTTCATCTGCCTGGAAACCTAATAAGCAAACAAGAATTGCACAGTATCACCATTAATCACCAATTTTTACTTAGAAGAAAAGGTTTTTTAACATGTATTATTTCCAAACATTAGCTTTAATATACTAGGATCATTTTGCATAGTGGTTTAAAAAGCTAGAAAATGTGTTGTGTTCTTAGCTGCACTCAGCTGCAGGACAGGCTAGCCTTTGAGCAAGTTTCGATTGTTTTGTATCATCCTTGTCACTTGACATTAAATACTATCACTGATTGTATATACACGCAGTTGCTAAAATACTTTCTTCACTGTCATCTTTTTCATTGCAAATTTAAAACAGAAGGTGAAGTGGTTAGCAGGTTGTTTTTTGACAACAAGTGGTTAAGGTCTCATTGTTGGATTTGCCTACTGCAAAGAATCTTACTATGCTATCTGTTTTATTTGTAAAGTCAGTAGGAATGTGTGTTACCTCAGTCCATCCTGTACCTAAAATTCAGTTGCGAAGACGACAATTCAGGTTATTAAAGCAAGATTTAGTAGGTGTGTCATACTGCTTCCTGGAAAACTGTGGTGAATAATCTGCTTCTCTCTTTAAATAGTGCTGCTGCTCCCAACAATGAGTTTCCTGCTGCTATTCCAGTTCTTATAAAAGACAAGAACTTCTACCAGTGACTTCTATTCCCCTTTAACTAGAGACCTCTCCTGAAATACAAGGTGTGTGTTGTGCTCGGGGCCGCGGTGCTCCCTACCTTCCAGCAGCTGGAGCGCAGCCGCCCGGTACGTGTCGGCGTTGTGCGCGACGTGCCGCGCCGCGGCCAGGTGTGCGAGCAGGATCTCACAGCTTTGGTCAGTGCTCTCCCACAGGTCCATTCCTTCAAACACGACCGCTCGCCGCTCCATCAAGGTAATGAGCGGCATCAGCAGTGGCACCGTTACCTTGTTCTGCAGAGCACCGATGGTCTCTGGAATTAGAGAGCAAACCAACCATACCGTCAGAAATTCCAAAACCTGCTAATTTAAGAAGGTATCGTAGCATTCTCTAGGTCAGAAACTAGTATTTCTTCCATTTCTCAAAGTCACCAGCCCTACCTGTTTGCAGTGAGTTTCAGGTAGCTGCACTGTGATGGGGAAACCAAAATAAAGCACAGTGTTGTTGGCAAACTGTATTTATTGCTGAAAGAGCTCTACTGAAATTCTAGACAGTGGCACAGAGATAAATGCACTGAGAGGCTTTTAAACACATTTAAAAACCTGTGTCATTTTCTTCAGGGAAACTTCCAACAATTTCTGTGAGGCCAGAAGTTTTTATCCTCTCCCCTTCCCCTGAGCCAGGGAAGTTTAATCTCCCCTTAGAGCCCTTTGGAGAATACAGCTGCAAAGAATGATACAGGAGCAGAAGATACTTGACTGGCTCCTGCAAATGCAGGCTCCCCAGCAGCACTTCATGGGTGCAGAGGAATTACCCATCCTTTGTATTTCAACATTTGTCCTTTGCTCCAATGGCAAAGCCATTTTCCTCCACCCTACACAGGGAAGGTTTTTGTCCACTCTTGTTAGGGGAGGAGGAATCAGAGGCTCCTGTCAGGCCCTGCTCCTCCGAGTTCCCTGCAAAGAGAGGGGGTTGAGCACACAAGCCTGTTCTGCTCTGTGTGGCTGCACGAGGCTTGGTGGGCAGATGTTTCCTTCTATTCCATTATGTTACATCACATTAGAGAAGGTCATAGAGTCACTTCTAACATATGATACCCAGTTATCAAAATAGCAGCTGTCTCCTTACACAGACCCCTCAAGAGTTATAAGGGAGAGTTGTAGGGACAGACAGAAAACATTGTCAGTTGTGACCACTCACCTTGTCCTTCATGCAAAGCTTTGCTAAATGGCTTCAGCTGCTTTTCATATGTAATGGCAGTCTGGGTATAATGATGTCTTAGAGATGTCCAGGTTTGTTCTAGCCTAGAGACCTGTTCAAACAGAAGTCAGGAATGTCTGGCTGATTCCATAGCCATTCACATGGCGAAAACACTGCTACTGGCCAGGTTGGAGTTAGTAGTCAGCCAGTGCCTTTATTTTTAGATAAAATGCAACTACTATGAAAGCCTGAGTCAAACATCACGTGAGCCAAAAATGTATCAAGTAATGCCACCTTTCTACTAGAGCTATCTTAACAATATTCTGTTCCCAAGATATGAGCCCTTGCAGTAGAAGAGCACTGCCAACACAAGTAAAGAATTTGCTCATTCAGAACAAAACCATGAGACTTTCTTCCTGCCAGCTAACGGGTGCAGTGCTCAGTTTTCATGATGTAAAACTTTCTGTGAAGCCTCAGCACAAATCTGGAAGTCTGGTTCCAACCCAGTGAACATGCAAGAAAAGGCCAACAAATTAATTTGTGTATCATCAGTACAGTAAGAAAGACAGATTCTCTCTGAATACAGAGGTGCTAGAGAATAAAGAAAAAAAAAAAAAAACTTTTTTTTTCAAGCCTGATCAATTGGAGAATTTTCCTTAAATGCTTCCCTTATTCTAATGTCTACTAACAACAACAACAACAAAACCTATATGGGAGAATCAGAAATCATCCAATTGCAGAGGTGGACTTGTCCCTGTATGATGCTTGAGAACCATCACAGTTATTGAACCATTTGGGGTGCTTTTCCTAAAAGGCTCCAGAGATGGGGACTCCCCCCAACCCCCCCCCCAACCCCGCTACCTAAATTGTGCCAGGGCTTCTCCTCCTAAAGCCTGGCTTGACACAGACCCTGACTCTTCTTTTTTTGCAATTTAAACTCACTAATTATGATCCCACTCACAGGGCAGAACATTCTTACTTTTGTAACTAGCTTCCATAGTCTTTAAGGCTACTTAGCTTTTTAAAGCTAAAAAATAATTCACTCAATCTTTTTTTTTTTTTTTCTTCACATTTTTCTAGACGTCTTTGCACTCAATTTCTTTTCTTAGTCCACATTTGGCCAGTAGGCAAAACAGGACATTCTATTTAAATTGAGATCGCTTCATTGCTAGGTAGAGCAAACAGATTAACCCACACATGCAAAGGCAGGATCCTTGTTTAAATATCCACTGTTGGAAAAGTGGTGTTGCTATTTTTATATCTTTTTGCTACCATGTATTATTTAGTAACTTCTTATTAGCTCTGAGCCATATTTAAGCAGATGATATATGCATAATTTCTCCCATCTAGGTCATCAATGAAAACATTCCATCTTGGATGCAGAGCTCTCTAATTTGATACATTCTTTTAAATTATAGTTTTCTAACCATAGAGCTTCTTTGGAAACTGAAGTCAGGCTGACGGCTCCTCTCTGCATCACAGCCCCCTTTTAATAGTTTCCCAATTCCTTTCTCAAGGATGCACACTCAAAACTGATTTGTAACAGCTGGACACTGTCAGCTCATCCTATAATGCTGCTTTTCAGATGGCGTGTGAAAACATCCACTTCCTCTTTTTTGATTCTAACTGAGACTTTTTCATACTATGTTCATCACGCAGCTGAAATTTTTACTGAAAAACTGGTGCTAGAAAAACAAAACTATATGCATCCAAGCCTTTGATTCTTACTCGGTAAGTACTCTATTTACGAGTTGATTTTTCACTAAGTAGGTGCCTCATTAGCAGTATTTTGTGCCAAGAACTTTAGATTTTTATCCCTATACATCTATTTAATATTTTAACACCTCCCTAAATCCTTAAGAATTTGATATAGGTTGTACTCTTCCTACTTGTTTTTGAGGCCAGGAAAAAGAGCTCACAGTTCAGCCAATGTCACTTTGTACTATACTTTTTTTAATCTTCCTCTGATTGAACTCATGGTCTTTCTTGTTTTTATTGTTACCTGTAGACTTTCAGTAAGTTTAACTTCCACTACATGTTCAGTCGCAAACCTCATGCATCCTTCCTGTACTTCTTCCCACCAGAAATAACTACAATTTGTGGGGGTTTTGTTTGTTTGTTTGTTTTTGTTGTTTTTGTTTCTGGTATTGTTCAGCATAATTTGTCCTGAACAAAATGGTAGTTTTGAAAAATCTGAACACAACAGGCACTTTCATCAGCAACATGCAAAATGAGATGCATCAAGAGAACACATTGTCTGCAACTACAGTTGCCTCCCGATACATTTGTTTTTTTCCCTTATAGGATTAAGCCCTTCCTTTTGCACCATTAGCTCGCATTTCATATAATGAAACCCTCTTTAAAAAAAAACATTTTCCAGTATATTTTGCATCAACAAGTATTAGCCTGCTATCATAGATGCATTGTTGTTAAGTTTACAATGTGGTTCTGGAACATAGAAGAGAAAACAGTTTTTACCTGTGGCATTTCTAGTGCCTTCATAATTGCAGAAAATGCATACAAATCCCCCAGCGAGTCCTTCAGCTCCACTGCTACTTGGATGATCCTGTTTAACGTTGCAGCTCTGTCATCTAAATTTCCTGTGCAACCCAGGATATCCACAGCTATTCCTATTGCCATGGTATTGTGCCTGCAAGGGACATAATTTATGCTGTTGGTTACCAGTTATCAAAAAGCCAATACATTACACTGTGCATACATATTCAGAGAAGATCAGTTTGAAGGTATATTCATTATCTTGATTGTGCTCAGCTAAGTGGCTCACTGGTCTTTATATCAATATATGGAATGTAGATATGTTGGCTTTGAGATTACGGCTTACTATATTTATTTTAATTGATATTATTAATAGCTATTGCTACAATACAGCCAGACCTGTAATATGTGATTACCAGGCTGATGCCCTGGTATGCACTCGTGGAACAGTAGCTCATGAGTCCACTCGGCGCTGAGTGTATGGAGCATGACTGCCTCAACCAACCACACCTGACAGTTGAGCTACTTTTCTATTTTTCTCCATACTGGAAGGGACCAGGAGCGCATTAGCTGTCAGCTGCTGCACCGTACAGGGAGGGCTGTAACACTTTAGGACATGCTAGCTCACTGACTCTAGCTGCCGAAGCACTGAACCCAAAATTATGCTCACGGCATGAATGACTGAATGTTCCTCCTGGAAACCAGCTCAGAAAGGAGAGCTGATGATGCCTGGCAGCTCCAGTCCACTGCTTTCACTGCCATTCTGCTTTTCCTATGTCTCTCTATACTGCATTCATTGAGTTGCCCTACAATCTTTAGGAGCTTCCCTATGCAAGTAGAAGTGATACTTTATGTATCGAGTTATCTTCGGTGCACACAAATTCAGAAAAGCTGACAGGACAGCAGTCTTTTTGATGCTTTGATGCAGAGCATGTGATCTAGCCATCTGCCCCAGATATGCAGAGAAACAGAAACATTTACCTTTCAATTAGGTCAAGGCGCAGCTGATGCCCGTAAGGGAGTGTAATCAGTTCAAGACCAGACTTCACTCCCATGACTCTCCTCATCTCTTCAGAAACTTCTAGTATCCTGGCTACCTGTCAAATGCAAAAACTTATGCATGAGTTCTGAAATTCTTTAAAGAAAAAAAAAAAATGCCACACAGAAGTACTTCAAGTCAAATGGCCACATGTAGCGCCTGTGCATGACAGCATACAGTCATTTAGGAACCACTTCAGGAGCTAATGACCATTCAGTGCCTTCTTACACAAACAAATCAATTAAATTTTTTTTGCAGAATGACTTGTATCTCTGACAATACAAAAGTCATAACCAAAATACTATCCTACACACGGACATCAGACGTTATAGGGGCTTTATCAGACTTATGTCCTGTATTTCCAGAAGGACATGCATATAAACACTGTCAGAAACCTGAGTGCTCTCTCAGCCCAATTCTTGTCAAGGCAGCAATGCTCTTTGGCCCTGAGCACATACAGATTTGTTTTGTCTTCTTCATTTCTAAAAAGAGGACTTTTTGCTCACAATATTTTAGATTATGCCACAGCGTTCTGATGAAGATTAATTAATAAAGGGACTTCGAGGAGGACACCGAAATCTGAGTGTCTAGCAAAGTCATTATGTAAAACCAGACGCCCTCACCAATTTGTCCTTTTTTTTTTTTTAACATGCAGTATTAGCTACTGGTTATACCATTCACCATTATCTATGCTAATCAAAAGCATAAATACATTTATCTGATGAGATTATCAGCTGGTTTAAAAATGTGTGTTGATAAACTTGCAAACTGCTCTGCTTGCTATTTGTGATACACTGTCAGCAGGCTTCCTTGGTTATGGAAAATTAAAGCAATCTGGGCCAAACAACACATCCAATGATGTAAAACCCAGCACTGTAGAGAATCCTGTTTCACATTCAGAGAAGCTGGAGTGATGTGAAGCCCTGCAATGGAGTTGCACTGATCACTCCTTCCAAAAGATCCCTTGCAGGCATGTGAGGCGCAGACATTTACTCCTCCGTGTAATAATGGGTGTTTCACAAAAGAAAGTTTCTAGAGGACTAGAAACTTCTGTTTTTAAAAGGATGGCTAGATACTGATGTAACAAGGCCTAAGAATTTCAGCCTTATCACGGATCTCAGTACATGGCCCAATTCACATGCCAATCTGCTTGTATCATGCAGTTCTTATCCGTGCAATAGTATGCCACAAGTTTCCACCGAATGACAGTTCTCAGCTCTTCTAGATGAGATAAAATGCAGATATTTCTCTACCTGTCCCAGTTAGTTCCTGCTTCAAAGCCCCAAAACTTCAATCTTTAAAACACTTCAGGGCCTCTTCATTGTACGTCCACATTTCCAGCAGGTCACTGCCTTGACCCTAAGGCCCTTAAATCCGAAGGGGATTCAAGATAATGTCACTGGAGCAGGGCTTCAAATTCAGGGCTGCACCAAGGAAGGCTCCTTCAGCGGCAGCCTAGGCCGCTCCCGAGCGCAGCGGCTGCCAACCTCTCTCAGTTGGACCCACGGCCCGCGCGCACCCGCACGCTCATGCACGCGCTGACCCCCCACCTCAGCTGCTCTGAGGATCCGCTCCCTCCCCGAGCTGTGGCGCTACTCAGTGCAGCAGCGCCAGGAAACGCTACCGTGGGTTTCCACTCCCCGTTTCTCTGGTCTGCGGTGGAGTTCCCCAGTGAGTAGCTGGATGTGTCAGTTCCCAAACTGCTCTTAAAAAAACCTGCAACACCCTGAACACACGAAGCTTGATCCCTTGATCCCTGGGGCTGCACTGGGGCTCCCAGGCAACCCAGCAGAGATTTAACTGCCGCTGCTTTTCCCTTTTATTACACAAAATCTTTAATTCATAAGATAGACATTTCTCCTCCCTTTCCATATTTCTGCTCCAACAGCTGATCTCCAAGTTCTGCCAGTTGAACAGAGTCTACATTGCGAAAAACATTTCTTTGTGATTTTATAGCTTTCTAAACAATTTAACTGTTCACATTTCAAAATCACAATACAGGCCTCTTGGAGGAGAGAGCTGCAGAAGTCCTGATAACTTTTTTTCCACACTGCTTAGCCCAGCATAAGAGAAGATTAGACAAGCTGTTAGTTTGAGACGCTTAAAAAGACTGAAGTGCCCTTCAAACTCTGACATTATGCCCAATGTTATGGGAACTAGGTGCTGTCTATTGTTTGCCTCTGCAACCTGCTTACATCTTTCCTGTCACTAGTTTTGTTTCCACTTTGGGTTTCAACACACATATACCTCTTCCTCCTGGAGAGAAGAAAGGATGAATCACATATATACAACAAATGATATAAGATTTAAAATGAATAAATACATTGAACATAGAAATCTAAGTCTAAAGTCAAGGCCAGTGGGAGAGACCTTCAGTCCAAAGTGTCTGTCACATTCTTTTTCTGCAAATGAAAAAAAATTCCCACACCAAAGCAATATATTCACTGCTTTGCCTACACTATCTGCTCATCTAGCCTTTAATCTTTTCAAATCAGTTCTTTAAAAGGTCTATACCTGCACAATGTAAAATAAGATTTCTTCTTACAATTATTTGCTTTTACAAGTAATCTCTTTACCTTGCAGTCCATTCTAAGAATATGTTTGGCAATGATCTTTGGATTGTTGTTGGTAAATATCTCCTTAACCTTTTTTAACATGAATGTTTCCAATGGCTTGTTTTCGGGAGGAAGTAGTTTGGATTCAAAATCATTTGGTTTGAAACTAGAAACTGTCTCAAGAACAGGTGCAAAAAATGGGCTGTCTTCCTCAGCTATCTCAGCTGAAGTTTCCAAAGGATCTGCAGAGCTCATGACAGAATCGTCTTCCAGGATTAAGTAGCTTGTGTCAGAGTTCCTGAATGAGTGTGTTCCCCTCTCCTTCAGTGTCAGATGTTCCACGTAGCTGTTTTTCTGACATAAAGGTGGTTTTGTCGCTGCAGGGTCTCTGGCAGGGCTCAGTTCACAATAGTGTCCTTCTGAACTGCGTGAGGCTGCAGGAGACCCTGGGTGCTTCAGCGAGGGTGCTTTGTTGGGTTTAGGTGGAGGCTTTGGGCAGAGTTGACTGTCTGATCCTCTAAGAGCTTCCCCTGCATGTGATTCAGAGGTGACTTTCTGAACAACTGTGGGGCTCAGAGAAGGTTCACTGCCTGTTCGAAAGGCAGGGGAGCTTGGGCAGGAGTTTGCATCTGCTTCAGGTAATTGAGAAGGGTATCTTGAACCTGCAGAGGCAAAGAGAAAGGAAAAAAAAATCAATTATTTCCACATTATTTGAAGGCAAAAACACATATGATTCCTGATGCCTAACTCAGAATTCATTTGCTCAACAATATTCCCCAAGGGAAATATTATCAGATCATGTCATTCACCATCAAAAATGTATTTGAAATAAATGCTTTCAGGAATGAGCTAGCCAGCAAATTCCATTCACGTACTGATCCTCCCAAAGTCCCAAATAAACAGAACAGCTGCGCTATAATGCTATTTTGTGGTAACACTGACAATAACTCTGGTCCCCACTGCATACATGGCTGCAACGTCAGAGCTGGATAGTCTCCATGGTTTGCAATAAGACTTTCTTTGTAACATGATCTGTCCTACAAAAACAGAAACTTCCAGCTGCACCACATAAGAGATGAGTCATTTCTGCGAATGATAAGCTTGAGATGAAGGAGAAGCTTCCCAAAAGCCAAGCCTGAACACGTAGTGAGGTATGAAAAGAATGAATTTTAGGGATGCTAATCCCTTTTTGCTAAACAGTAGCTGATTCAAAGAATTGGACAAATACATCCACATATTTCTGTGTTTAGTATTTATGCCTCATCCTGTACTTATAGCACATGCAAATCAATTGACATCAAATACAGTGCTGAAACGTATGTCAGACATTCCCAGATCACAGTTCTCAGGGCACTTGCTCGCTTTTACAACAAGTCGGCCAGTTGTACCACGTGGGTTGGGCTGCTTCCAGCTGGCTCTCAGCAGCAGCAGATATTGAAATCTGCAGATCACAGCCTGTCTCCAGCCATACAACCTCATGACACCAAAACTAGTTCCGAGGACCCCATCCTAAAACATGCAGCAATATTTTTCCACTTAACTGTTACAGTAGCAAAAGAAATGCTTTTGCAGACACAGTTTGAAATTAGATAATTGATTCAATTACAGATGGACAGAATTTGTTTTATGAATGCTGCTGTCCATCCCACTGCTAAACACAGGAACACTCCCTTTCTATCAACATACAGTTTCGTTATATAAATATTTAACATCATTTTATCTCAAGAAGTCGTTCTACAATGGGTGCTATAAATTTCAACAGCTGTAGTATCACTGTAAGTTTCTTACAAAGTATTTTGGTATGGAAACCATGTGCCTCTGAGAAAGAAAAAAGCCAAAAGTCAACAGCTGAACAACACTGGTTCATCTTGCTTCACTCACAGAAAAGTGATGACAGTGACGGTGTTCTGGAAAACAATGAGAATGAGAAGGTACCAAGGTTGTTGAAGGGAAAGTAGGAGCACCTAACAGACCTTGCTTGAACAGCAAAACAAGCCAGTTCTTACAAGCCACAAGTGAGGAAAGGCAACGCTGTCAGAAAGGATATTAAATCATGCCAGTTGTGGGTATCATTTTTGTGGCGTGGAAGCCTGCTGAGTTGTGTGCTAGGATACCAAACTGGCTGGTGTATTGTAAACAAATAACCTGGTCACAGCTGAAATGCAGTGTTTGTACTAATTCAGCTTCCCCTGGCTGTGAAACGGTGTGCATGTACGCAGAACACAGAACAGTCTAACTTTGATCTGAAGTGTAACACACAGGCAGGACATAGACAGCTTCTAAGTCTCAGAAGTTTCATTAGAAAACATACCTATCAGCAGATAGCTCTCTGACTGGTGAGCCTTTAGGGGGAACCTCTTCTCCAAGATATGATTCAAACTAGCTGGCTGGCTTCCGCTTTTTTCTCTGTTTCTAGGGCAGAAAAAAAAAAAAAACACTCAAATCCAACAACTCCTAGCATACATACTTAATCACCAGAACATATCACAACCAGGGCAAGGATCAGTAGCACTGCACTGCAGCAGCTCACAAGATTAAAAGCTACTTCATGCTGATAGAGCAACAATGAAAGGGGATTTAACATGTGGGAACCTCCAGCATTCATCTGGATGTTTCTTTAAATGCTGAGACTTCTTCATAGAACACTTGATCTGGGCACAGAAATTAAGATCCATTATCTTTATTAATCCAGGAGCCGAGTTTACAACAATACTTCATTCATTCTTTACCTAATACCCAGTGCTTTTATTGCAGAAGCAAAATATGGGAAGAAAGGCTTCTCTGGAACAGCAGCAAGATTTCATTTTAATTCTTCAATATGTATTAGGATTTTAATGATTTGCTAAACCAATGAAGAACAAACAGCACCACAGTTTTGCTTCCACAGTCTTAAACTTGCTCTTGCCTTAGATTTCAACCGAGTTATCCCTTCTCTCTCCCTGTTCTCCATCAACCTGCAACCCCAACACCATCTTTAAGCAACTAGTCCCTCTGAAACTGCATATGGACATTCTATTTTTCCAAAGATAATTTAAGAATCTGATTATTGCACTCATTTGCCAGACATTCTGTTCTTTGCTAGGCTAATAACATATGTAAATGGCATTCAGGAAGCACTCGTTAGTCACTGCTATAATGCGATAACAGGGCTAAGAACCTTCCTGTAACTGTGACGCAGGTTCTGGATCACGTTATGAGTGAAGACTGTGCAGCCATGAGACTCCCATCATGGCTTCACCCATCCCATCTACTTTAACACCTTAATGCAGTTTATTTTTTTTCTAGAATCAAATCCCAAAACCACAAAGTAGTTAGCATGTTCAACAACCTCAAGAAGTTTCAAAATCAGGCCTTAAAATAACTCTTTGCTAAAAATTAGCACAACTCACATCACCTTCAAGAGGAGCAGAGTTACCCATGTCCCTCCAGAAGGACAGAAAAATTCAAATACCTCAAAAGATTTCCTCTGGCTAAGCTCTGCTCCGGGGATTGCATGCTGGATATACCAAGACTAAGCCTTTTTGCAGTCTCTGTTTTTCCTTCAGGGGTACTTGGTTCTTTCTGTCGGACTGGAGATGCACCATATTTTTCTTCTAGACATCTGAGAGGAACAGTCCTGTTGATAGGCTGAAAAATAATTGCTCCACTCTGCTTTGATATTGGTGTGCGATTTCCAACATAGTATCTAACTAAGCCAGGGATGCTGTCGAATCTTTCAAGTTCAAATTGATACTGAACACGGCTGTAGGCTTCATTGAGTCTTACAATTGTTCTGTCGATTTTAAAATGTTGAGAGATATTTTTCCACTGACAGGTAAGAACAAAGTTCCCAGGACTGGAGAGAGAGTCCCTGATCAGAAAGTCTCCATCTCTCTGAACCAGGCTTTCTGCCACCTTTGAGGGGAAAAAGAAAAAAAAAAAAAAGGGAAGAAGAAAAATAGAAAAATACAATTCAAAAAAAAAAAAACAGGTAGTTAAACAACCAGCAACAAAATACTCTTAAATAAAGGACTTTGGCTGCCCTGGGAGCACAGGCAAAGACAGAAAATAAGGAATAACAAAATACTCTTAAATAAAGGACTTTATTTGGCAAAAGGCAAAGACAGAAAATAAGGAAGGGAGGACAGGAGCTGTAGAAGAATGCTATCTTCAGTTGTAAAGCTGAGAGATCGTCCTGCAGCACAAGTCTGGCTCAGCAGCCAGAAACATGATCCACATTTCTTTTAATTTCTTAACAGAAAATAAGGCACGAAGGAAAGTAACGACACGGGATCCTAGAGTTTAGATCTCTTGAACATATACTTAAATAGAAGTTTAGAAGCCACAACTACAGGCAGGCAAAAGTCATCCTTTCATTATGACTTCAAATGACAGAAGTTTTTTTTATTATTATTCTCAGTGAATACTGCTTATTATCAGGCATAGTCTGGAAATGTCTTTTTTTCTAGCTTGTCCTTTCCACAAGACAAGCTACATACCCAACAGTGAGCCCTAGGCGCAGTGCCTGGGCACCCTGTGCCTCCTCTCGGTACTTCCACGAGTGGCAGCAGCAGCGTCACAGCCACCGCGACAGCTACGGACACACACGTGGGAGTGAGGCCTGCAGGGGGAGCTCCAGATGCTTTCGGTACCGAAGATTCAATATAATGAGTTTTTAAATATCTTATAAGGATCAAAATGAAGTTCCTACATAAGTTTCATGGTTTTTTTCTTTCCCAAATGCCAAGCTCCAGAAAATAAAGTAGTACATTTTAAATTCAGATAACTATAGTGAACCAAATGAATAGTAATATTCCTGAACAATATATGGAAATATTATTCTCATACGAAGTTTAGATTTCACTTGCATTTTTATTAAGTGCCCCCAAGTCCTTTAATATTTATAAATCTCCACCAATATCTGCCCTGATTTTTTTTCTCAGGATTATTTTATTCCTATCCATGATAAAGAAATAATACCGCTTCCACACTAGTCAGAGTTACCTTTCTATTGAGTTACTGTAAATGTCAGAGATCAACATGTACCTTTTTAATGCAATCCTATCCATCCACAAAAGCTCAAAACACTGTTGGCAATGTCCAGAGCAGTGAGCACATACCTGCCGAGGAATACGCCCGTGGTACCAGGCATGGCTGCGCAAGTCTTCACTGCTCAGCTGCAGTTCTTCTTCTAACTCCTTCTTCAGCTTTTCTGGGCTGTCCATACGTTGCCTCTCTTTAGAAAACTGCAATAAAAGATTAAAAGCCTCAACCGTGCCAAGTTTAGTGATTAACATTTTACCTGGGTTATAACTTCCATCACATGATGTGCACTAGCCACTGGAATGCAGGTGCTGCTTTTATCAGGCTCGCCTGGCCTCACTGCTCTCCAGGCATATTTGCAAAATGCAGCACTTGGTGAGATAAGGTGTTAGTGTTATACACTGCACAGAACACAGCAAAGTTCTATGTCTGTACCCCAGGATAATAAAGATGTGCCTGCAGAATCACTTCTCTAACTCCTTTTTCTCAATTTGAATTCCAACTACTACAAAAATAGCACCTGAATCCGAACACATGGCTTTAATAGGCTTTCTGCTCTTTAAACCGCCATTTTAGACTCATATTTCCATTCCAACTACTACAAAAATAGCACCTGGATCCGAACACATGGCTTTAATAGGTTTTCTGCTCTTTAAACCGTCATTTTAGATTCATATTTCCTTTTTTTTTTTTTCCCTCTGTCTCTTTTCTTGCAACCAAATATAAATGAATCAAATGCAGCAAGAAAAGCTAAAGTGGACATATATACTTGTTCAATATTCTGAAAAAAAAAGTCTACTAAAGCCTTAAAAGGCTTGCTTCTGATGCACATTAAATCTGCATCTCCTACATGTTCTCGTCTTAAAGGGGAAAAAGAAAAAGGTCCTGTTATCCCTAAGTACAAGAAGCATGAGATCTACTCCAAGATAACTCCATCATCACTCTACATGTGATATACATAGGATATTCTGGAAGAACTCCATCTCCCTCTCCTCACTGCGAAGGCCTTTCCCAGCAGGGTTCATTAGCGCTTCTTGTGGATGCACTATTGATAATAAAGTGCAGTCTCTTCGCTAGCAACATGCCCGACTCAAGCACGTAGCATAGGGAAATTCCTTGAATTCCCTTATGTTCTCTCAAGTGCCTGAGACTCCAGCCTGTCTTCAACGCTGTTGAACAGTTTCAAAAGCCTGCCATGAGAAATAGCCTGCCACAGGAACAACCTGCCATGAGGTACAGCCTGCTGTGAAAAACAGCCTGCCATGAGAAACAGGCTCACGGCAGCCAACATGTTGCTACATTGCTCAAAGCAACAGAGCAGACTAAAATGCAGCAAGGTTTTTCCCCATAGCATTATGCAGCTCTTCCTTGCTTCTCCGGCTATGAGCCCAGG